CGATATGCTGAGCAGGCAAGAGGGTACACGAAAACAGGGATAGTCCCAGGGAATGAATGATGTTGGGGTGGAATCCGTTGGATCGCCTGCTCGAAATCGGTGTTCACACGCATATTTCGGTTCTGGACGAGACTGTGGAAGCGTGGGGAGACGAACAGGAGAGGACCCGACGCCGTATCGACCTCATACAATGGGATGATGGGAAATGGACTCACGTATCAGATGTAGATCGGTGAGCGGAGGCCAAGGCAGCTTCACCTAAGATTTTGACGGCATGGGAGGATTTGGGGCGTGTACAAGAAGAAAATATGGCTCAGGGATCAAAAGAGGAGGACAGATGGAGGCCAAAGAAAGGGAGCAGGTCGTGGAAGTACGCGACGAACCAATCCCGCCGAGAACGTCATTGACGGGCAGTACAGCAACAGGAGGGAAAAATCGATTCAGGTCCAGCAGGTTCAGCGATCTGGTGAAGAGATAGCTCCCCGAGACAGTGCGAAGTCGGCAGACATGTTCATGCTGAGTCAATATACGTGTACGAGGACGAAGTAATGTGGACCAGTTCATCGATGAGTGATTAGTATTTGATTACGTAGAAAATGTATAGTTGCGTCTCCGGAATCCTTACGATGGAGTGCAGCCGTGGTCTACAATGACTCAAATGAGGTGAAACAGCCAGCGGTGCACGTCAACGAGCGGTGCGGAGACTGCTAGGCATCGACTGAGCAGGACATCGGCGTTGAACTAAACTCAAACCCACAGGTGGGATGGGGTGTGAATCAAGTTATGGTCACGAATCTGCATAAAATACACAGACAAGGGAACGGTTAACATGGTGTCCGAGCATTATATCACTAAAGGTCCAAAGACGTCGGCGACTCATGCGTGTAGCAGATACAGTAGCAGCCATAAACGAACAGCGCTAAACCGAGGGCGCCTCGTAGTAGATTGTGGATAGAACTGCGTCGAGGGGCTGGTAAATATTAGCATTGGGTTAGGCACCGAATAGTAGATAGACAGACTTACTCGGTCACAATGTCTCCAAGACTATTTTGGTTCCCCGAAAACTGACCGTCAACGTCCATAACTAGAGATTTGCAATGGAGAAGCTGCAGAAATACTTGGAATAGAGAGTCAAATCATGGGTGGACAATACCCGAGGAACGAGCCATGCACCTCGAAGAACTGCCGGTCACTGCGGAGAACTAGATGATAGGCAAGGCTAGTCACAAAGGCCCCCACAGTATTTTCAGATGGAAAAGTAAGATCACCAGACGGTGCGATGGATTGATGAGCCGGAATTCATGAGGGTAATATCCGGCAACACAGATCAGAAACAGCGCCGTGAGAGAGGATTGACGAGATGGAGAGCAGGATGTTGCACTGGAGGCCACTGAGGGAGCCATAGGTCACGATGGTGGTCGAGAGGCAAAGAGCAAACGATGCCACGTCAGGCCACGTCACACGGCAATTATCGGTGTCGATTTTCGGGGATACGACGGAACATTCTAGTACTTTACGTGAAAATGGCTGATCAAAATGCGATCCGCGTCGAGGTGCCGAGCAGTTTTGAGGGAGCAAATCAGTGCTTACGCGAAAACTGCTGACGAAAATGTGATGCACGGCCAATTTTTGAAAATCAGGCTCTCTAAGACCCTTACCTTACGGTAGCGGGAATCCCTACCATACGTATGTCCTAGACACAACGGGGAATAAACAAAGATTCAAAACAAAAAAAAACTACTACCTCGAATAAATGTCTGCAAATTCAACCACCTCAAGTTCGTCTGGCATGTATCGGATTGAGCCGCTCCAGGATGCCAATTGGCTAGGCTGGAAGCATTAGGGTTGTTCACAGTTCACTTTTTTCCTCCCATTTTCCCCCCCCATTTTTTTGCTGGATCTTTGGTTTTACTTGGTTTTTGCTTGGGATTTTTTCCCTTTTCAATTCAGTGATGTAAAAAGGGTTGAAAATGGAAGAAACGAAGTGTCTAGGCGCAGAATCCATGAAACGGCAGAAAAGAGGGAAGAGAAAAATGGCCAGAAAAAGTGAACTGTGAAACCCCCCGACGAAAGCTCCATTTTTCTCTCCATTTTTGCACTCCTTTATTTCGTTTTTACTTAGGTTTACATCCCTGTGTAGTTCAGATCACTACAGACATCTCAGGGGGCCTCATGCGTGCATGCGTGGCATAACAAAAGCCTGTCTCCCACCCTGTTTGATGTGGATATATTTATTTGGAAAACGGAATGAAAAATGGAATGAAAATGGAATGAAAAATGGGAGGAAAAATGGAACCGTGAACGACCTTATTGTATCCCTCTATTTTGAAGGATCGAGGATTGCTGAAGTATGTCGCGGGAACTTCAACCCGTCCGACACCTGCAACTGCTGGTAAACCGACCGCCGATGAATTAAAGTCTATGGAAGAATGGGATGACAATGATGCCCGTGCACAGAATCAAATTGAGCTGACAATAGGCGGCTCTCAGATGATTCACATCTCTGGAGCTATGACCTTTGCATAAATGTGGAAGCAGTTGAGCACTGTCAAGGAATCTCGCGGGAAATTGGAAATTTTATCCCTGCACCGCCGCCGATATCCGACTACTGCCGACGAATCTACGAACATTTTGGCGCACATTACGGAGCTTAAGGAAATTCAAGAACAGCTACACCTCATGGGAAGCTATGTATTTGATGATGATTTCACATTCCTACTCCCTCCTCACATCTCTTCCGCAGAATTGGCACCAGTTCACTGGGCCTTATCTTGGTGCAAACTTCTCTGCTGTTCAGGCTAACAGCTCTTCTACTGGTATTACTACTCAGGCACCAACTTCGTTTGTATCCACCCTTCCCATCGAGTCCTGTGAGCTTATTGCAATTATTCTGGAGGAAATCACCGCCGCTTGGAAAAATCGAGCGCAGACTCTTCATTAGTCTCGAGGAGATTGAATTCAAGTTCAAACCGACACCCCCCAAGTCCGAAAATAAATCCACTGGTTGCAATTGTCCTTCAGACAGCATAAGTTCAAACTGTGGTCGGAAATATCATTGCAAACATAAATGTTTCGCAAAAGGTGGAGGCCGTGAAGGCCAAGGACCGAAGCAAACCTCAGGGAAATTTAAATCGAAGACCAAAGACAGGTGAGTCTAACCAGGCTGAAGACAATCCATCAGATGCGGCGAATAAGGATTTAGCTGATCAGACATACACGTCTGAGGTAGCTGACTCCAAATGCCATACGGCAATAAATTCGTTTAAGCGCAGATTGGCTCGCTGATTCTGGAACCACGCACATGCATGCAATTCGAGAGAATTGCTCAATGATTTTATCCCACCCACAAACCACAGTTTAACTGGTATTGGTGAGAATAAAGTTCAAGCTATCGATCGGTGAAGGCACAGTTAAATTGGACTGCAAAGTCGACGGGAAATATGTTACGAATGTTTTAAACGACGTACTTTACGCCCCCGCATCAGCCAATAGCTTGATGTCCCCCCTCGCTCACGATATCCACCGCCGCATCCCCGCGAGTACGGGGACTCGGTATCTCCCAGCCCGCGCTCGGCGCCGCACGCGCTTTCCGCACTGCCCGCGGCGCGCTGCTCCTCGGACTTGCACCCTATCCGCGCGCCTCGCTCGCCGAATCGCCGTGAGCGCGGGAAGTCGATGTCTCCCCGCGCGCGCACGCTGTGCCGCCCACGCCGCGCTGCTCTTCGGACTTACACCCCGCGCGAGCGCGAGGAGTCGGTGCTGCGCTGCGCCCCGTTCTCGCACTTGCACCCTCGACCGCCGCCCATCGTCCACTGCGCGAGCGCGAGCGCGAGGGCGCGGGGCGCTGGCCTCGTACCCGACTTGGCGCCCGCGAGTCCTCGTGATCGCGCGGGCGTCGTTCGGGCGCAGCCTCGGTGTACTGGGACGATACGCGCCGTATCTCTGCGTTCGTGCAGAGGCAGGCACGGAACGCGCTCCGTCCTCGCGACGCCGTACACGCCGCCTAACGCCCCGGTCAAGGCTGCGCGGTGCACCTCCGCGCCCATTCCCCTTGGGGCTGCGGCAACCTCGACTCGGGCGCATTCCGGGAGGGACGTCGCGCACGAGCGAGATGTTAAGAGTACAAGTACGTACCTGCATGCGGGCCCGCCGCAGGGACTTGAAGGCAGGCGGGCGTGGTGTACTGAGGGCCGCTAATCGACGATTGAGTGAATGTAACTAGTAAGCATGTAAGGTTGCGCACCTTCAAGTGAATGAGGTTTGCGAGGCGGACGTGGACTTGTGGCGGGGACTCGGGCGTCGGGGACACGATAAAGGTGAGGTCCAGATGCAAGAAAGAAAGGATTCCTCGGCTGATGGTGGAAGGGAATTCGACGCTGTATGTGGGGATGGATGGGCGAGCGCGGCAGTAAGAGGGTGGGTCGAGCGTGGGGCACGGGATGCTGCGACTGCTCGGCGGCGACGGGGATGACGGAGACGCGGCCGGGGTGCAGCACGGAGTGGTCGGTGAGGGCTCGAAGGACGCGGAGCCAGAGAGGGCGGCCCGCTTGGGCGAGGGGAGTAGGTGGTGGTGGAATCAGCCACGGGTGACGTCATTGATGCGGGGAGCCGACACACCTTGCCCGTGACTTGCTCGACGGCGACGACGGTGAGCTCGACGCCATCGTGGATTCGATGGTGGACTCGCAGACCTCAACAGCTAGGCTTGGCACTGACACCAGCCTTATACATACTTACCCGCCAAATTGCTTCCGGCTTTATCCGCGCCGCTGCGCCAAACGGGAGGTTCAACCTTGGTTCGACTTCGGAGCAAATAGAGTCCAGCCAGGAAGAGCAGAGGAAATCAGAGATCGGCCTCTTGAAGTGCGAATATGGTGCCGATGCTTTACAGGGCTCGAATCCCTGTGTCTGAATGGTTGATTGGTCGATGTTTTTCCTTTCTTCTTAAGTTTCCTCCTTAAACGAGCTAGTAAAACGTACCATGGAAGCGCAAGAGGAACTCAGACATGGTGTAGGGGGAACACAGCCTTTAGTTATAGGTCGTAGGCCCCGATTTTCAGAGGCAGTCCAGGGTTCAAGTCCCTGTGTCTGAATTCATGGTATTCATGACCTTTTTATTTAACTCGCCAACAAAACTGTCCGGATGAAGAAAAAAGGAAGTCAGATGTGGTGTAATGGGAACACGGCCTCTAATGTTAAGCATGCCTCTTCATAACTTCAGAGGTAGTCCAGGGTTCGCATCCCTGGCGTCTGAATCTCGTGGATTTGCTCATTTTTTTTTTCTTACATCCTCCCTTGAACAAGCTAATAAGACCTACCATAGAAGCAGAAACAGAACTCAGACATGGTGTAACGGGAACATAGCCTCTTATTATTGCTGTTGTCTCAAGACCTTCAGAGGCAGTCCGGTGCTCAAATCCCTGTCTGAATTAGGTTCATCTTGTTCCTTTCTCTTGCAGCCTCCCTGAAGAAGCTGATACAACTCACCACTGTTAGTAGGAAGGAATTCAGATGTGGTGTAGCGGGAACACAGCCTCTAATTATAAATCCAATGCTTACGGGCTTTTGGAGGCAGTCCAGGGTTTGTCTGAATGTGGATTTGAAGTGAGTTTTTTTGTCTTTGATTTCATTTTCTCATCGTCGCGCGTGGAACATAAAGTTGAACACGCTGCTGTAAGCCTGTCACATCAAGGTTGAAATGTTGAAGCTTCAATTCAACCATCCCCCTCGAAGCTCGAAGAAAGTCAAGCTACATGTAAGCAGTCAGAACAGGAACTCACTGGTAGTCCTTTTTGGTTACTTTTTACCCCCTTTCATCTTCCTTTTCCCTTCCCTTTTTCAAAGGCGACCAAAGAAGGAGACTAAAAATGAAGGCAAAAGGGCTCTTTTTCTGGTCCTTTTCATTTCTCTTTTTCAGACTGCCTATCCCTCTAGACTTGGTTCTTATTGGATTACATAGTTCATAGCCTCTCAGATACCCCTCTAATAGACAATGTACTCCTTCTGGCATTCAAATATTCAAAAGGATTTCCAAGTTAGATCAGGTTCCAATTCCGCGTGCCTACCCGTTCACAGTAAGCCATTTTTATTTACTTTTTAACTTGCTTTTCGTTAGTTCTCGGCCAAATTTGCACCCGGAAATCTGGTTTTCCTGACTTTCAGACCCTCTTGAATGTCTAAATGGAAAAGGGAAAAAAAGTCGGACGAAAAAACATGGAAACATCAAAAAGGAGAGAAAAAGGAAAACAAAAAGGAAGTAAAAAGGGCTACTGTGAATAACTCTACTTATTCAAACAATCACTCGAGCCCCTAAAACCAATCCACGCATCTCAGAAGATACTCAGACACAGCCTCCTATTCTGGGGATCACATCGAGTAAAAAGTGAGAGCCAGTTCAGGGCTCGAATCCCTGTGTCTGAATTTGGGTGGAGAATTTTTTTTCGTCTTGTGTTGTTTCATTTCTTCACCGCCCCGCGCGGAATGTGTGATTGAACCCACTTCTGAGGGTTGAACATCCACAGCACGAAGAAAGAACGAGAACCCCGCTCCATCTACACTTATTCAGATGCTCAAACGGCTCAGAGCTGATAAAACTCCCCGGATGGACTGGGAAGCAGCTCAGCCATGGTGTATTGGGAACATAGCTTCTTCACTTGCATTTCGGCCGGTGTTCATTTACAGAGGCAGCCCAGGGTTCGAATCCCTGTGTCTGAATTATACTTTTCCTCCTCTTTCTTTTTCTTGCATTTTCCTTTAAACATGCCGACAAAATTACCTGGCTGTTCTAGCAAGGAACTCAGGCATGGTGTAGTGGGAACACATTCTCTTCTTCTGTTGAAAGTTGCTGCTTACAGAGGCAATCCAGGGTTCGAATCCCTGTGTCTGAATTCCTGGATGTAAAAGCACTTTTTTCTTCTGTTACATATTTTCCATCCCTTTCAAACGCCGCGATATTACCCCCCCTCGAACAAAGACTGTGTACATTCAACCAAGATCCATTTTTGGGGGAAAAACTAATAATAGGACGATGCACTTGCGCCTCGCGACGCACCCGCTGCACCTCCCTCCGCCGCCAGCTTGCCTCGCCCGCACCTCTCCCTACCTACCTACCTACCTCGTACTTAAGTACCACAAAATGCCACCCAACCCGACCCACACCCATACATCCCGGAATTACCAACACCCGTTCCTTCGTGCTCATCGCGGCGAGGTGCATGGATTCGGAGCGCGAGCGCGGGGGATGTGGATTAAGTTTGCGAACGTGTGGACACAGACCTGCACTTGCGAGCGCGGAAGTGCATCTCCGCCCGCGGGGGATACGGATCTGGAATCTGGATGCACGCCAATTTAAGAAGGTCACCGATACAGATTACCCGCAACTGGCTCGATGATGACGGCGAGCTCAACGCCATCGTAGATTGGGCTCCTCGCAAAGCACACCTCACGAGCTGGGCTCGGCACTGATACCCGCCAAATTTGCTTCCGGATCCGGCCGCGCCGCGCCGCCAATCGGGAGCTCCTCTCATCACACTCGAATCTCAGGTTAATGAAACTGCTCAGATGGAGAGTAGAGGAACTCAGACATGGTGTAGTGGGAACACAGCCTCTATTCTTCACGATAAAAAATGACATAAGAGGTAGCCAGGGTTTGAATCCCTGTGTCTGAATGTGCTGTTGACCCATACCTTTTTCTTTGTAACAAAACTGCCCGAATGTACCGGAAATGGATCGGACAAGGTGTAGCTGGAACACAACCTCTTCTCATAAAATACGGGTGCATCAGTTTAGAGGTACTCCAGGGTTTGACTTCGACTCCCTGTGTCTGAATTCCTGTGTATGATACATTTTTCTTTTTCCATTTTCACATTCTTGCAAAAAAAATGCATTCCTCTTTGAACGACCTAATAAAGCTGCCTGGATATAAGGGAAAGGAACTCAGACATGGTGTAGCGGGAACATGGTTTCTTCTTGTCAGTCAGAATTCTATCATCAGAGGTAATCCAGGGTTCGAATCCTTGTGTCTGAATAACTCTGGCAGGTCCCGTTTTTTCTTAGCGATCTCTCGCTCAATTTTATTATGTACATGTTCGATTCCACTCCTAAACGCAGGACTCAATGGACCTGAAGTTGAATCTTAGTTTTGAACCGGTTGCCCCGCGGGAGACTTTCAACGCGGCAAGCAGGGCCTAAGGTTTTTCTTCTATTCTCCCTGCTTGCGGAGAGGGTGACCGTCACGCGAGCAGAGTAGACTTTGTATGCACTCAGTTAAAATTGTCTTCATACACCAGATCCCGCTCCGGGACAGAACAGAATACAGAAGGAAAGGTGGCGCACCGAACAGCACATACCCCCCGTCCTCAGGCACGGGTATCTGCCCAAAGGGCTGCATCTTGGCCTTGTACTCCGCACTCTTCGCCCCGCCGAGCGCGGGGAGGAGCGTGAAGGGGGCTTGCTTCTCGGGGAGGATCAGGGAAACGCGCTTGGTGCAGGTTGAGCGCACGTCCTTGGTGTAGGTCAATGAGATCCGGGTGAGTGAGTTAGTTAGGTGATGATGATGAGGGGAGGGTGGGATGGAATGGGATTAGCACGTACGCCGTGGAGCTTGAGGACCGTGGGTTAGGAATGGAAATCCGAGGAGTGGGAAAGAGAGGCCTTGGGCTTGGTAGGGTGGTGTGATTGTGAGTGAGGAGAGGAATAAGTGCGCGGGACCCACTGCGGACCCACGCTGCTGCCGCACTGCGCCGTGATGAATCTGATAAGGCCGTTCAGCACGCCAGCGCAGTTTGAGAGAGCAGCTGAGGTGTGTTTTAGGTGATTGGCATGGGGTCGGGGTGAAGTGAGTTTGGATTCCTTGGAGATCTTCGATTGTCTCCGAGTCGTTCTTCAGACTTCAAGTCGCCCCATGCTAGGCTCCTCTCCTTCAAAGAGGGCCGGCCATCACATTCTGCCGGAATGTGGATGTGCGTTGGATTTTGGATCGTTCGAGAACTTGTGTCGATGAGTATACCATGTACAGCGTGGCACCAGTACCGTGATCAAACCGTGGGAAGCGTGACATGACTGATGTAACAATTGCATGTTCAAGTTGAACTGCGCTGCGTCGTGGCGAGAATCCGTCAAGAGCACCCCCTGCATTTTCCCTCATTCTCCCTCCGCTCCATCAAATCAGAATAGGACATTTTCCTTGATTAAATCTATTGAATACGGAATAGAAGATGAATCCGGTGCGTGGCTGAATAATGTGTCCTGGTGCCCAACATGGGAGATCAGCTTCATATGTTCCCACTACCTCGCCGTCGAACACTCATTTGTTTACTCTCCCAACCCATCGCATCATGAAATTCAGCCCTGAGCGAGCATGAAAGGCGCGAACCGGCCGTCATCTCCCACCGGCACGCAATCACCTCCCCTCGCTCGCCTCCCACAGAACCCGGTGATTTGAGATCTAATATGCGACAAGTAGTAAAAAAAACCCATCTGTGCGCTGCAGATGGTGTCCATGAATGTCGGATTCCGGGCGTGGTTGAACATCGATCACGTGCATGGTTGAACTTGGCGAAATAATCAAGTCCAAACTTGAACATTGGGCTCTGACGCAAAGCACGCGGTTTTCCGAAAACTTGGGAGCTGAGCTCTCCGGCCGCCAAAAAAATCCATCAATTCATTCGCACGAGCTGCATCAGATACTAAACTGGAGCGTGAGGTTGGTGAGGTATACCATTGCGCCAGCGCGGCCGTCCAAGAACGTCATCATGTTCGGCGTCGTCGTCGTGCTATACTCCGGCCAGTTGGGGATGTTCCTCCCGCTCGGGTCGAATTCGTCGCGAAATTAATCAGGTAGTCTGTGAGCTCGCCGTCGTAGTAAATGTTCAGTTTGTCGGACGCGTGGAACTATTCCACAACATAAGTTCTCTGCGCAATGCGAGAGTGAAGAGCTAACTCACAGAGTCGAGGAAGGGAAAGTCCTTGAGGCGTTTGCTCACTGCGTGGGTGTCGGACACTCATTTTGAAATGAACCAACCAATTTACGGGCCTACTCATACACAACTTAATCTCAGTGTTCTGATTTCCAGGGAAAGAGGAATCATCTGGGACGGCCGAGCTGCGCTTGAACTGAGGACTCAACGCATTGAACGCCCCCGTGTCGAATGAAGAGCCCTTGGTGATATCGTTCGGATAGAACGCGGCCAAGGTCTGTACCTGCGCCGTGCTAGCCTACGGCAGCCAGATGAACAAAACATATTCGTGGAATTCCGCGTCCATACTGAGTTGGTCATTGCATAAATAGATATAGCGGGCAGCCAGAAATAAAAACAATAGCACAGGACGAGTATACTCATAGAGAATTTGTCTTTAGGCGAATATATGCTCCGTCTGGTTCACCCCGGCTCAGTGAATGGATGCTCTCCAGATATTCCAAAAATCTCCTCGCAATACTGAGCGGTCGACATCGTGTCCGAAGCGAAACCACCAAATTTCGTCTCCACCAACTTTCTACATGAGACCGAAATAGACATCTAAATCTTGTCCGCTGGAAAACGATATTCGAATTTTGTCAAGCGAGAGGTCAATATTGCGCGACGACAGTTGCCGATAAGGTTGGTAGCACTGGTGCTGTGATCTTGACCGCCCTGGCGTGGGTCAAAGATCCGTATTTAAAGCGACTCGATATATCCAGCCCGTGTGTATTTTTCTTTAATTCAAGTCAGCGTGAGTCCATATATAGGATTGAGATAACTGGAGGTACGCATTTCAAATATCTACTTTCATTATAATGTTCATTTCAGTAATGCCCCCGGATGTCCGAATCGACGCCTTCTGAAGGCAAGGTCGCATCTGTTGGGTTAGGGCGCTCCCACTGGTCGAGCTCGCGATGTCCTTCGATGAGTCAACGAGGAATCGCATTGGGATCGCGCGCCGTCAGCGTTATCTCGGCAGCCAACGGCAGCGCTGATCGCACGCAGAGACCTGGCCGTCGAGTAAGTGGACCTCGAGGCTTGCTTCGCCCACGGCGCGCAGCTGGGGGAAGCCACGGCGCGGGCCGCATCACCTAGAGACCAACGTTCGAGCTTAAAGAAGTGGAGGAGGAGAACGAGATTGGCAGAGAAAATCTTATTCACATCTGCGGCGATGGACGGTCAACAAATGGTTCTGCTAAATAAGTGAAGGCTTACTGCAACGCCCATGCACACGCGCCGCCCGGCGCTATGATTGAGATGTGGGACTCCAACCTTGGGTTGCTTGACGTCTGTGCGACCATAGTGCCCATCCATTGAGCGCTCCGGAACGAACTCCTCCGTGAAATCATAACGCTGTGGGCCACGGTTGATCTGTAGGAATTGTACACGACAAGGACGCCCTTGGGTATGAAAACACCGTCGACAACGACGTCCTCGTGCGTCTCGCGCGGGGATCCGAGTCGAATAGACATGAAGTACCGGCCGGCTTTCATTCCGAGTGCCTTGATGTATTCAACACGGTCCGTATCCAGCGGGTCGGGAGTTCGCCACCGTAGACTTCCTCGATCGCCCGGTATGCCTTCTCTTGGATCTTCGGGTGGGCGTTAGTGCGCACCTCCACCTCGTAGATTGAATCCAGCCAGGAGGAAAGACCAAGAGGGCGGAGAACGAAACAACTTGGGGATGCCGCTGCGAGCACGACACGTTCTCCTGTAGCAACGAGGGATGTAGTCGTGCACTGGCGTAGCAAGCCTCCACTGGCGGAATGCCTTCATGTTCACGTCCGCAACAAGACGTGTCACATCATCGGCGGACCGTTGCCCACAAAGCATGTCAGCACTAATGCTAATTGTGGTGGTCCAGAAATGGATCCCAAGGTCCTGCGCGACTCCTGATTTGGCGCTCTCCGATAGCAGGTTGACGAGTTG